CAGAGTTTTGGACAGATGAGAAGATAGATATCTAGACAGATCAGTGGTCCTGGAGAAATAGAACCACCCCTTCTTTGCTGACTAAGGTTAATCCCAGCCAAGCAGAGGACAAAACATCTCCACCAAGTGAGTTACCCCAGTGGAGACCCACCTCACCCTCCTAGTGAGCATTCAGGTGGGCAGACCTACTTATTAGCCAAACTTGAGCCGATGAGAAAAATACTCCTTTTCTCCAGAGAGGATACCTCCTTCTGGACCTCCCAGTTGGCTTCTCATCTCCTGCTTGGACAGATCTCCAGCCACCAAAGCAGAGACTCCCCAGGCACTGGTCAGCTTTCCTGTCCCCTGCTTATTACTGTAGCTGACCTATTGACCCAGTGCTGCCGCTGCTCCTGGGTACCGAGAGTATCCAGTGACTGCTGCCCACCAGTGATATCTGCTGCTTCTCCATAGACTTTTCACGATCCTTTAGTGACACCCCTCCATTTGTTCTGGAAGCGCCTGGCTTGGAATGACGGCCATTAATCATCTCGGAGACTCAGCTTCTGTGACTCCTCCTATTTTCACCAAGTCCATAGACCTATGTCCTGCCTCCCTGAGTTGCCAGCAACCCAAGTCCATCCACCAGGCATCAGCAAACCCACAGGCATTTACTGACCACTTTCTGCTTCCTTGGGAACCAATATTCCAAGTCTCTGTGGCCCCTCAGTTGATTCATCAACCTTCACCCTGCCCCAGATGACACCAACTTCGCAATCACTGTTAGTAACATTCACTGACCTCCAATGAACCCACAGCTACTGTCCATCCTCAGTCACCCCTGCTGACCCCCTTAGAACACACAAGTATGAACAGTGACTCCCCAGTAACTCACAATAAAGAGTCTAGATCCCTGCTTTTTAAGGCTTAAAACAATTTATCCCTCCACAGTTCCATACATATGTAATGTACTCTGACCCTCTTACTGTCCTCTACAATCCCTTCCTCTTCCTATGAACCCCCTTCTTTGCAAGCCCCCCTCCTACTTTCTTGTCTTTGGTGTGTGTGTCCCCCACTGCAGTGAACTGGGGTTGCCTGAACAGGCATGGGTAGGAGAGGTCATTTACTTGAGTGAGGGAGACTTATCAATGGCTGTGCCACCAAGGAATATGACCCCCCCCCAACTATTAACTGCCTATAGCTTCCTTCTCAGGGAGGGCTGAGGTCTCCTGTGTTCCTCTCATCCATGATGGCACTTTGATGGGCCCGGAGTTATGGACTCATGGATACAACTGCTATGTCATATCCAGAAGACAGTGTTTCATGGCACCCCTCATCTTCTGGCTCTTGTATTCTTTCTGCCCCCACCCCACCCTGCAGTGGAGAGGGTTGTACAGATGTCTCTTTCAGGGCTGAACACTCAATAGTCACTTAGCCTCAGTACTTCAACCAGTTTGGTTTTACTCTATCTCCAATATTTAAGTTAGGTCCAGCAGACTAGAGTCTGCAAACCACAAATTTTAAAAATTGTAACGAAATCCAAGGATTGGTGTCAATGCAGTTTCTAAAACATTTTAAAAAGTTATTTGGCCAGGCAGTGGTGGCACACACCTTTAATCCTAGCATTCAGGGGGGCAGAGGAAGCAGATCTCTGTGAGTTCGAGACCAGCCTGGTCAGCCAGGACCAGGACAGCCAGGGCTCCACGGAGAAACCCTGTCTCTAAAAAAGAAATTCATTTTATGTATAAGAGTGTTTTACTTGCCTGTGTATCTGTGCCTTGTGAATGCCTGGTGCTTGCGGAGGCCAGAAGGGGGAACTGGATCCCCGAGAACTGGAGTTTCTGATGGTTGGGAGCCACCAGGTGGATGGTGGGCCAAAACCAGGTCCTCTGGAAGAGCAGCCAGTGCTCTTAAGTGCTGAACCATGGATGGCTCCAACCCCTCTAAGGTTTTTGTTGTTGTTGTTGTTGTTTTTTAATTACATTTATTTGTGTGTTTATGCACAAGGCTGTGCATATGGAGGTCAGAGGACAACTCATGGAAGTGGTCTTCTCCTCCCACCATGCGTGTCCCAGGGAAGGAACTCATTGACAGGCTTGGCAGCAAGACCGTTACCTGCTGGGCCATCTTACTGCCCCCTTCTCCCATTCATTGAAAATGTTTTGTAGATAGTGTCACGCCCCCCCCCCAGCCCCCACAGTATCTTTTTTTTTTTTTTTTTTTTTGGTGCTGGCAAAGTGAAGTGCACATAGGACAGAGATCAAGAATAAAGCCCAAACCCGTTCTTGTCAGGCTTTTCAAGATGCTATCCATTCTTTCACTTAAACGCTGTGATGACCGCTAAGTTGACAGCCTATGGCCAATGGCCCCACTGATCTTTCAGTGACTCAAGGCACTTCCCACCCTCAGCCCTACCCTTCCACACCTAACCCCAAGCTGATGTCCTCTGAGCCTTCCCCCAGTGGAGGGCTGGCAACCCTTGGAATTCTTTGGCTACCCTACAGGTGGTACTAGGCCATCTACGGAAGCCTGTGTTCTGGCAGCTCCCCCACCCCTTTTATTTTGTGTCGGGGGGAGGATGAACCCTCACTAAAGAACCTGTGTAGTTGTCAAGGGACAAGTCTCTGGAGTCAGTCTTCTCCGTCCACCATGCGGGTACTAGGTATCAAATTCGGGTCATCATGCATGGTGACAGGTGTCTTTACCCACGGGACCATCTCACCAGTCCCCCATCATTAAAAGAAAAATACATTCCTTTTTTTTTTTTTAACTTTGATACAGGGTTTCATGTATCACAAGCTATCTTTGAACTCACAATGTAAGCGATGGTGACCTTGAATTTCTGAGTCTCTTGCCTCCACCTTTTGAATTTGGGGACTTATAGGGTGCTGGGAATGAAACCCCGCGCTTCCATCATACTAGGCAGGCACTCTACCAATTCAGCTACAACCTTAGTGCGGCCCCTTTTCTAGTCTTTAGTCTCCAGGACCCCAAGAGCTTTAGTGGCGGTTGTTCATCAAACTCCTGAATACGGGATGGAGTTGAGAGGGTGTTGTCTTCAAGTGTTGAGACCCGTTTTCCCGTGAATTCATGTCCAGGACCTTAATTATCTTCCTTCCAGAGGGGTGCGGGTTAAAAGCCTCATGTTAGGACTAAGATCCTGGTGTCCCCGCTTTTCCAACAGGTTCCAGAAAGAGAAAGACCCCCAGGAACGGCCCTTTTCCCAAAGCACAGTGGCAGGACAGTATTTCTCTCCGAAGCCTGCCTTCCTCAACTTGCCTCATATTCAGCGGTGGCGCAGCTGTGGACGTCCGCGTGCTGCAGGCTGGGTGGCCTCGCTACTCCTTTCGATTCCAGTGCAGCCTCAGGAACCTGGCCTGCGACATTGAGAGCGCAGCCGTCCACCGGGAAAGCGAGTCCGAGCGTTCCGTGAGGACTCCACCGCTGCGGCACTGCAGCCGAAGCACCTGAGGCGCCAGCGGGGAAGTGCGGGTCCCACAGCAGCAGGACGTCTACAGGACATCCTACATCGGGGCAATGCGGGTCTCACAGCGGCAGACCGTCTACAGGACGTCCTACTTCGAGGAATTGCGAGTCCCACAGCCACAGGATGTGCTACAGCGGCTGCGGCCCGCGCCTGTGGGCGGGGCGAAGCAGAGTGAGCTCCTAATGCAATTGGCCGAGGGGCGTGGCCTGCCAGCCACTACCGGCCTTCATTGGCTGCTGGGACGGAGGCCCCGCCCCGCAGCTGTCTAAACTCTCGGGGGTCGGAGCGCGGCGTGCAGAGACCTCGCAGGCGGGTCGCAGCATGAGTCGCCACTTGGATCTGGTGCGGAGCTTCCTGGAGCAGCTGGAGGCCCGGGACCGCCGGGAGGGAGCAATCCTTGCCCGCGAGTTCAGCGTGAGTGACACTCCAGCGATCGAGCTTCGCAGCCAGGCTGCGCCCACCGCTGCCCACCTGTGCAGTGTGAAAGCTCTGCCTGTTTCTCTGCGTTCCCGGGGCGTCTCCTGCCGCCTCCGACTCTCTGGTTTTCTCTCCCAGCACTTCTGTCGCGCGCCCACACTTTCTCTCAGCTTTTCTCACTCTGCCCGCAGGTGCCCAGAGGGTGAAGTACACGGCTCTCTGGGAGGAGCGGGACACACTCAGGCGTCCATGTCGCTCTCCCGGAGCGACCCTTCTCCCTCGCAGGGCGGTGGCTGCCGCTAGGGAAGGAGGCGGCACACCTGCGCTGGACTCCAGTCCCCGACCCGGGCCACTCCTAGGTCACCTTGTAATCCCTGGGAGGAAGTGGCTTGGGGCCGCAGAAAGAGGAACAGGGAAGCTTTGTAGCTTAGCCTTTGAGCTCCGGAGTTTCCAGTTTCGAGTCTATGCCTAGAGCCTTTCAGAACTGCGGTCCTGGGAGGTCCGACCTCAATTTCAACTGTTTTGAAAATGTGAATGTTAAAACCCAAGTTGGTCTGAGAAATTAGGTGGTTTTGGTAGAAACACTTCCTAGCACATGTTGGATACTCACTGGATAGGTGCCTTTAACATGGCTTACAAAACTTCTAGATGTTACATCAGGTAGTGCCAGTTATACTTGTGAGAGGGGAACAGCACTCAGCAGGCATGGCATATAACACGTAATGAAGTATTTTAAACATAGTGACATGATCCAAATATGTAAACACGCTCTATCAAACTTAGAGATATGTATTATGAATATATCAAAACAGGCATTAAATGGCCGCTTACAGCCTGGCATGGTGGCACATGCCTGTATTTCCAGCAGTTAGTAGCCTAAAACAGGAGGATCACCGTGAGTTCAAGGCCAGCCTGAGTTCCATAATTTGAGGCCACTCTGAAATGCAGAGTGAGATTGTCTCCAAGAAAGGAAAAGGTAGTTTACACAAAGACCATTATGTAACCCACTAACAATACAACACTGTGGTGGCCCATGCCTTTAATCCCGGTACTCAGGAGGCAGGGGCAGGCAGATGTCTGTAAGTTTGTGGCCAGGCTGGTTTACACAGAGCTGCAGGACAGCCAGGGCTGTGTTGAAAGACCCTGTGTCAAAAAAAGACAAAAAAATAACCAAATGAAAAACTAATGACAATACCACAATCCGTACAACAAACATTAATAAAAAACAAATTGATTAAGTTTGTAAGTAAATATACAGAACAAACATGTGTAAATTAAATATGAATCTAAATAATTTATACATGTAAAATACGATAACTAAAAAATGTATGTGTTATATGCATATTTTTTTGAGACAAAGTTTATCTGTGTACGAGGCTGACCTCAAACTTACAGAGATCTTCCTGCCTCTGCCTCCTGAGTGCTGGGATTAAAAGTATGTGCCACCACTGCCCGGCCTAAAATATATAGTTTATAAACATGAAAATGGCCATAAATATGTATGTATCCTTCAGGCTGATGAAGAGGGCAGTTCTGAGAGCTCCATGCAGAATCTTGCCCTCCCTCCCTCCCTCCCTCCCTCTCTCCCTCCCTTCCTCACTAACTCCCTCTCTCTCTCCTTCCCTCCCTCACTCCCTCATTCCAGGGCTTTGATTTTTCCTACCTCTGATTGAAATTCCAACAGTGACACCACTATAGGAAGATGTCTCTGGGGGCTGGAATAACCTGATCAACATAAGTCAAGCACCTTGGGCTGGTGGCCCGAACACAATGGCACCTTGATAGGCGTTTATTATCGTTGCAGTTATGAACACCTGATAATTAGAGTAATATTCTTCACTAATTATAATAATGTACCAGTTATGAAGTACCTATAGCATCTTCTTATATGTTGTATGTTATAAGTCATATATATATATATATATGGTATATTGTCATGTTGTATCTTGTACAAAGCATTTATTTAAAAATTTTGTTTGGTGTGTGTGTGTGTGTGACACACACACACACACACACACACACACACACACACACACACACACACGGATTCTTGGAGACCAGAAGAGGGTGTTGGATCCCCTGAAGCTGGAATTGCCGGCCATTGTGAGCTGGCTGGTGCTGGTGCTAGGAACCAACTTGTGTCCTCTGCAAGAGCAGAAAGCACTCAACCACGTAGCCATCTTTCCAACACCCATTTTAATTTTTTTTGACACAGTATCTCATGTAGCTCAGGCAGGTCTTGAACTTAATATGTGGCCAAGGATGATTTTGAACTTTTTTTTTAGTTGTGTGTGTGTGTGCACAACTATGAGAGTTGATTCTCTCCCTCTCCCTTATGAATCCTGGTGATCGAACTCAGCTCATCAGGCTTGGTGGCAAGTACCTCTACCCACTGAGCCATCTCCCTCGCTTCAGTTTCATTTGTGTGGGGGTGGGAGTCTTGTGCATGCCACAGCACCTATGTAGGGATCAGAGAACAACGTTCTGGTATTGCTTCTCGCTCCTTATTATGGTGTGGGATCTGGGGATGAAGTGCAAATCTTCAGGCCCGAACACCAAGTGCTTTTACCCACCGAGCAATCTTTTGGGTCTGTATTATTGTATAGTCCAGTATAATAGGGGTTGAGTGTGCAGGTCTGAAAGGTCAGTCTCCTTGTGGGACCTTCAGCGAGTTGCTCCACCACTTCCTACGCCAGCTTTCGTCTGCACAACGGGAACAGTGGGTAGTTTCCGCTTAGGATGACTGAGTCACCTAGCACTGAGCGTGTTTTTCACTTGCTGTTGCTGGATATTGTTACACAGATCCTTATGTTGATGGGTCTGCCCTAGTCTGTCCTGGTCTGGTGAACTCTTGGGATGTTTCAGCGTCCCAACACTCTGACCTGGCGTCTTTCCTCTTCTCTCTTGCCTCTTCTCTCTTGCCTCTTCTCTGCCTTTTGGCTCGTGGTGCCTTCTTCCAGGATATTAAGGCCCGCTCACTGGCCTGGAAGACTGGAGGTGTGTGCTCCACTAAGGTCGGCAGTCGGCTTGGGAACGCCAAGAAGAACCGCTACAAAGACGTGGTGCCATGTAAGTCAGTGGGTGTCTTTAGGGAGTCGGCGCCACTTGCACAAACGCTAGGTGGTAGTGCCCGGGTGGCAGCGGCTACCCACTGCCGGGCGGGGCGGGGGGGGGCGGGGGCGGCAAGAGCTCCCCCAAAGCATTCTACTTCCCATACTTGAGGCAGCTGCATTACTCCACGAAGCCACAAGGGGCAGAACACACTGGCGTTCTGTTACCCTGCTTGCTTTCGCCCGGGAAGCTGTCAGATACTTGGCACACACCTCTCCACATGTCTCACCCACTGGCAGATGATGAGACGCGCGTTATCCTTTCCCTGCTCCAGGAGGAGGGACACGGAGATTACATCAATGCCAACTTCATCCGGGTCAGGCTAGTGACCAGGGAAGAGGTGCCTCTCGGGGGTGGGGAGGGTGGGCTTCAGAATCTTGTTAATGAACGGGCCTTTCCCAGGGCACAGATGGAAGCCAGGCCTACATCGCGACACAAGGACCCCTGCCTCACACTCTGTTGGACTTCTGGCGCCTGGTTTGGGAGTTTGGGGTCAAGGTCAGCTTTGAGGGACAGAGGGCGTGGTTCTGGGTCTCCCTCCTTCCTGCTTCTCCTTACCAATGGCCTCCCTCTCCCTTGCCCCCTGGTCTAGGTGATCCTGATGGCCTGTCAAGAGACAGAGAATGGACGGGTATGTGTCCTCAGCCTCGCATTTCTCCTTCTCGTCCCTAGGACCCTGAGCCCAGTCCTTGGCTGACTCCATTGTTGCTCTGCAAAAGCCACTAGTCTCTAGTTTTCCTTGATCTTTTCATTTGGATCCTGGGGTTGTCCCCTCAGTGCCGGCAGCCCGGGCTTTCCGCCAGCCCACGACGTGGCCAAGGACTTGCCCTGTACAGTTTCCGCTCTGGTCTTTCTGTATCCCTCGCTGTTTTTCACACTCCCCTCGACCTATGCTGGTCTTGGCCATTCCTCAGATGAGCCAGAGAGGGCCTGTGCCATGGCCATCCTCTGCCTTAGACTTTCCAATTGCTCATTCTGTTACCTGGACCTTCACATGGCTTCCTACTCCCCAGCACGCCCACCTGTGACTCCTGCCTGTGTTTTTCCGTTTCTCATCTCCCTCAACAGTTCTTACCCACCTCAGCACACCGGGTAATTCTAAATGGGAACTACACATCACAATCGTGTGATTGTACTCCACAAGCTATTGTTTCTGCCTTTGAATGCCTTTTTACTGGAATGCACTTCACCTGTTCAGCCAGGCTTAGCCGCTCCCTCCTGTACTTCTGGGACCTGGGAGGCCAAAGTGAGAGGATGAAAACTTTGAGGTCAGCCTGGGCAACTTAGGGACCACCAACATTCTCATCACCCCATTAGCAGTCACACCTCATGTTTAGAGTCACAGACAACCCCTGGTCTGCTTTTGGTGACTGCAGATTTGCCTACTCTGTGTGTTTTATGGAAAATGGAACTGTGCAGCTGTGTCTTTTGTGACTGGCTTTGTCTCTCTGTGTTTTTGGTTCTTGCATGTGGTAACCTCTTCATAGCTCACTCCTTTTTGTTGCTGAATAGTACCCCACTGGATGTTTCTACATTTCATTCCTCTAAGCAGTTTGTAGATGCTGGGTTGATTCCATATTTCGGTTTCAGTGAATCACACTGCTTTGAGCATTCATATGCAAGCCTTTGAGTGGACATGAACTTTCGTTTCTCGAGTATATATCTGGGTGGAATTGCTGGGTCATGGAGGAACTCTATTTTTAACTCTATTTTAAGGAAGTGACAAACTGTTTTCCATAGTAGCTGCATCAGGTTACATTTCTACCCATATGCAGGACAACTCCAGTTTTGTTACATCCTCACCAATACTTGTTGTTCTCTTTTTTTAAAACATTGCACTTCTTGTGTGTGGGGGCATGTGCACGTGCCTACTGAGCAGTGGGGGTGGGGGTTAGAGACAGCTCTGGGGCCTGGTTCTCTTTCCACCATGTGGGTTCCTGGGATTGAACCCAGGTCATCAGTCTGGCGATGACAAGTGCCCAGGCCTGATGAGCCATCCTGCCTGTCCCCTGCTTCTCTGTATGTGTGTAACCATTGTTGGGAATATGAAGGAGTCTTTATTAAGACGTATAAAAATATATGTAAACATAAAAATTGCCGTTTAAAGGACTGAAAAGATGTTTGGAGGTTAAGAGCACTTGTTGCTCTTATAGAGGACCTGAACTCTGCTTACAACTGCCTGTATCTCTAGCCCCGGAGCGATCTGATGCTCTCTTCTGGCCTCCTTGGACACCCGAACACATTTAGCACACACACACACACACACACACACACACACACACACACACACACTAAAAGGCATAAGGCCCCTAGTCCTGGCCACTTGTGTTCTGTCTCCATGAATTGCCTGTTTTACTTTTTACATCATGTAAACGGGATTATAACGTAAGTGTCCTTCTGTTTCTGGTTTATTTCACTTGGTGTTTTCAAGGTGTGTCCATGTTGTCACATGTATCAGAATTTCATTTTTTTTTCAGACTGACTGTGCTTTGTGTCATATTTCCTTCATCCATTCATGTGCGGATAGACTTTTACCTTTTACCTGCTTCTACCTTTTAGACTACTACGGATAATGCTGCTTGCATACACTGGTAAACAGTTATCCGTTTGATTCTGGTTTTTGTTTTACTTCGTGTGTGTGTATGTGTGTGTGTGTGTGTGTGTACTTGTGTCTGTGTGTCAGTGTACACACACGTGTGGTTATAGATGTGTGCACCTGTGTGCATACATCTCACATCTCATGTCACCCTGACTGGCCTGGAACTCAACATATAGACAAGGCTGGTCTCGAACTCACAGAGATCCACCTATCCCTGCCCCTTGCTCCTGCTACACTGCTAGGTTTAAAGGCTTGTGACACTCTGCCTGGCTCTCTTACTCCTTTTGAGGCAGAATCTCTCCCTGAACTCTGTGCTTGGATTTCCTCAGCTAGCCTGGAAGTCAGCAAACACCAGAGAGATCTTCCTGTCCCTGCCCACCTCTGAGCTGGGGCTGCAGGTATGCAGAGGGTGCCTGGCCTGTTATGTGGGTGCAGGGATCGGAACTCCAGCGCTTGTGGCTGTTCAGCAAAGACCTGTAACTGCTGAGCTATCTCTTTAGCACCCCTATTTTGTTTTTCAGTTCTTTGAATATAAATCTGCAGTAGAATTGCTGTTTGTTTGTTTGTTTGTTTGTTTGTTTTCCACAGTGGCTATACCTTTAATGATTCCACCAGTTGGGGGTTTCAGTTTATGCCTATGTTCTCCAATACTTGCTATTTTGTGTGCGTGCGTATGCTTGTACATGTGTGTGCACACGTATGTGTG